GAATGAAGATTTATTCTGTCCCGGATTATAGTCTCCAGGAGTTTCCCCACTACTGATGTTAGGCTGACTGGCCTGGAGTTCCCAGGTTTGTCCTTCTGTCCCCTTTTGTACAGAGGAGTAACATTGGCCACTCTCCAGTCCTCGGGCACCACTCCTGTGTCCAATGAAGATTGAAAAATTGTAGCCAAATCCTCCGCTATTTGTACCCGTACCTCCCATAGTAACCTCGGCTGCATCCCCTCCGGACCGGCCCACTTATCAACCTTTCAGTACTTCCTCTCTGTTTATACTTATCCTGTCCATTTCCTCTACCCTCTCCTCCGATACTGTGGCATTCGGTGCTTCCACTTCTTTTGTGAAGACAGATGCAAAGTACTCATTCAGCACATCAGCCATTGCCCTCTGCCTCCACAATAAGATTTCCCCCTTGGTCCTTAATTGGCCCACCCTACCTTTGACTAACCTTTTTTCCTTGACATGTTTGTAAAATATTTTAGATTCCCTTTAATGTTACCCGCTAACCTTTTTTCGTATAACTTTTGCCCCTTTATTTCCTTTTTCAAACCTCTTCTGCACTTCCTATATTCGATTTGGTTGTCTTCTGTATCTTGGGTTTGACATTTGTCATACACCTCCTTTTTCTGCTTCATTCAGATACAATTACCTTCGTCATCCAGGGAGGTTTGGAAGCCCTACTTTTCCCTTTTGTGGGAATGTATTTATTCTGTCCCGAGCTATCTCATCCTTGAAGACTTCCCACTGCTCTTTAGTTGTTTTACCTGCCAATCTTTCTTTCCAATCCACCTTGGCCAGGTCCCTTTTTAACTCACTGAAATTTGCCCTCTTCCAGTTGAATATCTTCACCTTAGATGGTTCCTTGTCTGTTTCCATATGCACTCTGAATCTAATGATGTTGTGATCACTATTGCCCAGATGCTCTCCCACTGAAACCTGCTCCACTTGCCCTACTTCATTCCCCAGAACTAGATCCAGCACTGCTTCCTTCCTCATTGGGCTGGAAACGTACTGATCAAGAAAGTTGTCCTGTATGCATTTTAGGAATCTTTCCCCCTCCTTGCCCTTTGCGCTGTTGTTTTGCCAGTCTGTGTTGGGATAATTAAAGTCCCCCATTATCACGACTCTATTGGCCTTCATCTGTCTGAGATCTGCTTCCAGATCTGCTCATCTATTTCCTTCCCACTGTTTAGTGGTCTATGGTATACCCCTACCAGTGTCACAGCTAATTTTTTGTTCCTTAACTCTAACCAGATAGATTCCGTTTTGGGGCCCTCCATCACCTCGACCCTTTCCACAGCTATAACCATATCTTTGATTAACATTGCCACACCCCCTCCTTTTTTTCCTTCCCTATCTCTCCTGAATACATTATAGCCAGGAATATTCAGCTCCCATTCCTGTCCTTGCTTGAGCCAAGTCTCTGTTATTGCGACTACATCGTATTCCCCTATGACCGCTTGAGCTGCAGCTCACTGATCTTGTTTGCTAAACTCCGTGTATTTAGGCACATGCACTCCAAGACCAACTTCTGTTCTGGACTTCTCCCCTGATTTATTTCTGCATTTACTTGCCCTTCGTTTTTTGCATTACATTCCCCCCTCAAAACTAGTTTAAACCCTCCCAAACAGCATTAGATAGCCTGTCTGCAAGTACACTCAGCCCAGCCCTGTTTAGGTCAACCTATCCATATGGTACAGGTTCCACCTGCTCCAGAAATGGTCCCAATGACGCAGAAACCTGAAGCCCTCTTTTCTGGACCATTTCTCCAGCCAAGCATTCATATGCTTGATCCTGCCATTCTGCTACTTATTTGCCCGAGGCACAGGGAGTAATCCAGAGATCACCACCTTGGACATTCGATTCTTTAGTATCTTCCCCAGCTTTTGATATTGACCCTGTAGAGTCTCAGCCCTTTTTTTTACCAATGCATGATCCCAACGTGGACCACCACTTCTGGATGTTCTCCTTCCCCCTGAAGAATTTTGTCCACCCTTTCTGCGATGTCTAAGACTGTTGCACCAGGGAGGCAACATACCATCCTTGACTACCGTCTTCTGTTACAGAAACGTCGGTCTGTACCTCTCACTGTTGTATCCCTTATGACAATAGCATTGCTCCTGTTACCTATGTCCTCCGGTTCCACCAATCGGCTTTTACTGTCCTCCCTGGAGATATCCGCAATCTCAATGTTCAGTTCAGAGTACTGGTTTGAGAGAGCGACACTATTCAAGGCATTCTGCCCAGCCCGTCCCCTCTTCCTACCATGCCGGACAGTCACCCAGTCATTTTCCATCTGAACCCTCAGTGTGTGGGGTGGGGTGACCACCTCTTGAGGTGTCTGGTCCATCAAATACTCACATCCGTTGTACAAGTTTGCTGCCCAAGGCTCCATCACCCCTCTCTCAGCGGTCCCCTTATCTGCAGGACTGATGAAACCATCCTGTCCCTGAGCATTAACCAGATGTAAGCATCTCCCGAGCCTCAGGGGAGTGATGCTTTCCTCCAACATACTGTCCAGGAACGTCTCACTGTCCCCGATGGAGTGCACCTCGGCTTCCAGCTCAGCTACTCTCAGGTGGAGCTTCCTGAGTTGCAGACACTCGCAGCAGATGAAGTTGCCGGGGCTCAGGGCCCTCCATTAACTCCCACATGTCACAGTCCTCGCATTTCACTGCCACATCATCTTCTCACACAGTGTTTTCTATATTTTTTAATTTTTTGTGTTTTTGTTTTATTTTGCTGTCAGAGTTGTAGTTTCTGACAGTTTGTCGATGTTTGTCCCTGGTTCTGCTGTTGAAAAATGACTTCACACCAACGTCACTTTTTCTTTTTTAATCGCTCTGACAATTCCAACAGTTTACCTCAGCCTCCGCCTCCGCCCTGTCCTGATTGCTCTCCCCGAGTTGAAGGAAAGATTGTGCAAACTTGTTTGTTCATGTGTATGTATATTGGCCACTAACTCGCCTGAAGTCAGAACAGACTTGGGAAAGGCAGAAGACAAGAATGTACTTGACAAAAAGACCCTGCTATTTACTTTGTTTTTCATAGATTCATAGAATGTTACGGCACAGAAGGAGGCCATTCGGCCCATCGAGTGTGTGCGGCTCTTTGACAGAGCATCACTTTCACTAACCCCAATCACCAGCTTTCTCCCCATAACCCCACAAACCTGTCTTCCCCCGATACCTGTCCAGTTGCCTCTTAAAAGCTGTTATTGAATCGGACTTCACTGCCCTTTCGAGCGGATCATTCCAAATTCCAACAACTCACTGAGTGAAAACATTTCTTTTAACCTCCCTTCTGCTTCTTTTGGTAGATATCTTCAGACTGTGACCGCGGGTCACAGACACACCGACCAGCGGAAACAGCTTGTCCCTATCTCGCCTGTCAAAACCTTTCTCTATCAGGTCCCCACGTAACCTTCTCTGCTCTAATGGAAGAAGTCCTAACTTCTCCAGCCTGTCCTCATAGCTAAGGTTCCCCATTCCTGGTATCATTCTCGTGAATCTCCTCTGCACCCTTTCCAGTGCCTTAATATCCTTCCTGACGTAAGGTGCCCAGAACTGGACGCAGTACTCCAGATGAGGCCTAACCAGTGTTTTGTACAGATTAACCATAACCCCTACTCTTATACTCTATGCCCTACTAATAAAGCTCAGTACACCAAATGCCCTTTTTACTGCCCTATCTACCTGCTCCACTACCTTTAATGATTCGCTTACTTGAACACCCAGATCTCTCTGTACGTTCACCCCCCTTAAGATTGCGCTCCCAAGTCTATATTGCCTCCTATCATTTTTACTCCCTAAGTGAATCACCTCACACTTATCCACATTGAAATCCATCTGCCACATGTCAGCCCATTCCACCATTCTGTGTGTGTCTGCCTGCAGTTGGTTACAGTCCTCCTCACTATTTCCTACCCGACCTAACTTGGTATCACCTGCAAACTTGGAAATAGTGCTCTCTATGCCCAAGTCCAGATCATTAATATATATTAGAAAGAGCAGTGGTCCCAATACCGATCCCTGGGGGACACCGCTGCACACCTCCTTCCATTGCGAGAAACACCCATTAACCACCACCCTCTGCATTCTGTCACTCAGTCAGTTCTTAATCCAAACGGCCACTGTCCCCTTAATACTGTGGGCCTCTAATTTTTGTATTAATCTCTTATGCGGTACTGTGTCAAAAGCCTTTTTGAAATCCATGTAAATAACGTCCACCCCGTTTCCCTCATCAACCCTCGCAGTCACCTATTCAAAAAATTCTATTAGATTTTCAAGATTTACCTTTAACAAATCCATGTTGGGGGTCTCTAATTACCTCGTGTTCCTCTAAGTAGAGATTTATTCTGTCCCGGATTGTGGTCTCCAGTTGCTTTCCTATTACCGAAGTCAGACTGACTGGCCTGTAATTTCCGGGCTTGTCTTTCTGCCCCTTTTTGTAGAGTGGGGTAACATTAGCCACTCTCCAGTCTCTTGGCACGACTCCTGTATCCAATGAAGATTGAAATATAATGGCCAAAGCCTCCGCTATTTGAACCCGTATCTCCCACAGTAACCTTGGGTGAAACCCATCTGGTCCTGGTGACGTATCAATTTTGAGCCCAGTCAATCTTTTCAGAATTTGTATTCTGCTCTCTAGATTGGTAATGATATCCTTCTGTATCATTAATATGAGCACATCAAACAATTATCTCTATGATTGTCGCTGTGAGCTTGATTAACTTGTCCAAACGTCCACTGATGATTCACATCAGCAAAAATTATTACATTAGAAGGTGTGAATTGACGATTGTTCCATATTTGGTCTGTATCGCAGTCTCTAGTTACAGTTCAATCTAGAATCAGTCTATCAGCACACTTAACTCACTCGGGTGCAAAGAATATAAATTGAGGTACCTTTACATTCTCTCTGCAGACCTGAAGCTCAGACACCCTCTTCACTCACAGACTCGCAAGTCAAGAAGCGCTAACAAGATGAACAAACTTGTTGTCTATGAACATCCCGATTTTAAAGGGCTTTCCCGAGAGTTCACTGAAGATGTCCCTGATCTGGTCGCACTGAGCTTTGACAATATCATCTCAAGCTTGGAGGTGTTTGGCCAACCCTGGATCTTGTATGAACATCAGTTCTATTGTGGAAATATCCGAGTGTATGAAGAAGGTCGCTATAAATTTACCGAAGGGTTCGGTGATACGATCTCATCAATGAAACTGATCCAAGATGACCTGAGCAATCCTCGCATAACTCTGTATGAACATCCCAATTATCAAGGCATATCCAGAACCTTCACCCAAGAAACCAACCTTGTTTTTGGCGACATGAATGACAAAGCTTCCTCCCACGTTGTCCAGGGTGGGGCTTGGGTTCTCTATCAACACCCCAACTGCGAGGGGTACAGGTTTGTGGCAAGAAATGGTGAAAGTGTCCCTGATTATGGTTTCATGTATTTCCATGATCGTGTATCCCACATCCGCCCTCTGAAGTCCGGGAAGCCTACGATTAAAAAGGTGACTGTCCTTTGGGATGAAGCGAAGACAGAATCAAAGCAGCAAACAATTGATGAAATTATCAGTGAAAATCAAACCCCCTACGAGCAAGCTTTCACAGCCGCCCAGTCCATTACTAAGGAAGTGAACATTTCCCAGTCTTTAACCTTCAGTCAATCCAGTCAAATCACCCTTGGCAGCACCTTCAACATGTCAGCTTCAGTGGATATGTTTGGTATCCAAGCTGGCATGAGCCTTGAGCTGAAAACGGAGCTTCAGTTAGGATTCCAAGTGGAAAAGGGCAAAACAGAATCTAAGACTACAACCATCAAACGTGAGTTCACTCTCCCTGCCAAGGTCCCTGCCAAGACAAGGCTGAAGATTGGTGTGGTTCAGGAGCAAGTTACCTACGATCTTCCTGTAGAGATGGAGGTGTGGATAGGATCGGAGATGAAACGAGAGATGGCAAATCTGCACTGCAATGATGGGAGTAAAGTTACTCTCATCTATAGCTCAGAGCAGCTGTAGTGCGATGTGCTTGTTGACCCTTTGTGCGCTTGCAATATTCTGGGTTAATTTGTCAAGTATAGCTTTACCGGTGTTTCTGTTGTTGATAGTTAATTAACACTTTGCATGTGATTCAGTCACATATAGATTAAACTGAAGGAAAAGGAAGAGCGAGCGAAAGAGAGAGAGAGAGAGAAAGAGAGAGAGAGAAAGATTGAAAGAATATCAAAAATAAGAAAGGATGAAAAACAGAATGGAATAAAAATAGAAAGTAAGAGACAGTGAGAAAGAAAGAGAAGGAAGGAGAGAAAGAGAAGACATTGAGTTACACATTATATTACTATCGCTGCTTGCTCCTCTAATGAAGCGTATATCTTAATCTAAATTCCCTTCTTCCCATAATCACTAACACACTTCCTCCGCACTTGATTCCATTTATAGCACTCGCACAACCACCCCTGACAAACAGAAGAGAAGGAAAGAAAAAGAGAGACAGAGAAAGTAAACGTAAAAGGGAGAGAGACCAGAAAGTATAAATGAAAAAGTGGGATAGGAAAAAGGAAGGCATTTAAATATTTAATGCTTATTTCTAAAGCTTGTTAATGACAATTTATTGAATAAAAGGTGTTTGCTTTTGCATTACATTTAATTTGTGTTTCCATTTTATTCCCACACCTGTTTTACACTTCATGATCACACAGATATGGTAATAATGTCCATCCAACAACGTGATAAGGTGCTATATCAAATGCGAGGACTATTATTATTATTTGCAGATTAGACAGGGGGTCAATGGCTCAGAGATTTGGCACCAATGTAAGGAGTCACAGCACGATATCAGGCTCTGCTGTCTGATCGCACCGCAGATAATAGATGGAAATACAAGAGTTTTTATTACTTCTTATGCCTCACCCCCTCCTTAGCCTCCTTCAAGTCCCGCCTCAAGACCTTCCTCTTTGACCATGCCATCGGTCACCCCCTTCCCCTCCCCTCCGCCCTCGCATGTCACATGAACTTTCTTCTGGGGGGCGGGAGGAGGGGGTTGGGGTAAGCAGGTAAAACCTCTGAGTCAGTCTCTTCCTGAGCCAGGTGGGTCCACAGTATTCCAGGGCACTGCTGATGACGGTACAGCCCGGCCCGGCTCATCAGCAGGACTTGGAAGGAGAGACCAGTCACTGGGGGCAGGGAATCCTCCCTCTCAGCTCCTGTTAACCCTGCAAACTGAAGTCCTAATGGGTAGGGTGGTCCGAGCTGGACAGGCAGCGGAGAGCTTGCCAGAGCTTGCCCGACAGTGCTATCAAGCTGATGGCAAGCTCATTCAATGTCAGCAGTTTCCCAAACACACTCTGGGGTCCCCAAGCCTTGGCTCTTGGCAGCCTGTGTCTAATCCTCTCCAGAAGTAAAGCAGAGTGAGTTCTCCCAGAGAGAGTGCTCGTTCCATTCAATTGAATGCAACAATTATTATCAATTGATATAAAATTAATCTAATGCAGGCAGTTTGTAGGACTTTGCAAAAATTGGTTCGCCCACAAATTGCACACAGTTACACCAGTTAATAGAATATCCTGCAGAGTGCTTTGAGAGGTCTCAACAGCTTAAAACAGGTGCTATAACAGGTGGAGTCCTACAGTTCAGCTGTTGGAGCACTCGACTCCCAAGTGAGAGTCCTGGGTTCGATGCCCAGCAGGGTGAAATGTTGGGCAAGTTTCCTTTACGCCACATGCCTCTGTTTATGTAGCAGTAAATAGGAACATGGTTGTTGGTCGATGGACGGATGGATCACTTTTCCGGGGTACTAATCCCTTCAAAATTACATTGGTCACTCAGTCCACGACTGTTTGTGGGACGCTGCTGTGCGCAATTGGTTACCCCGTTTTGCCCACAAAATATACAGTAAATTCACTTGACAGTATATTCTGAGAAACTTTTTGAGACGCCTCAAAGACATAATAAGGCGCTATATCAAATGCAATGATCATTAGATAACAATTTTTAATCATTTAATTGAAATTAGTTCAATTCCAGGCAGGTTAGGGCGAAACCTTGGGCAAGTTTCCTTACTCCACACAGAGCCTAATAATAATCCCTCCAAAACCCAAAACAATAATAAATTGATCATTTTCAATCTACGACTGTTAGTGGGACATTGCTGTGCGCAATTGGCTGCCGCGTTCGCCCACAAATATACAGTCAATTCACTTTACAGTGTGTTCTGTGAAGCGCTTTGGGACGTCCTCCGACGTGAAAAGTGCTGTATCAAATGCAACGATTATTATTATTATAAACTACAATGAGCAGTGCCTCCATCTCCTGATGACAAGTGGAACTGCAGCATAATAGGAAAGCAAACATCACATGAACTGTCGGAATTACAATAATAATCCATAATAATAATCTTTGCAGTTGAAATAGCGCATTTCATGTCTTCTGGACATCTCAAAGCGCTTCACGGAATATACTGTAAAGTGAATTGACTGTATATTTGTGGGTGAATACCCAGAATTATACTCTCATTACAGTCCGGACATTTTTTTTCGCTCAAGCCCCTATGTCGGGCCTTTGAATTCACAGTGTAGAATGCATTGTCAGAGATGCCGTCCTTTGGAAATGATGTTAAACTGAGGTCCCATCTCTCTGTTCAGGTATATGTTAAAGATCCCACGGCACGATTTAAAAAGAGAAGAGAGTTTCTCCTGGTGTCATGGCCAACAATCCTCCAGAAAAAATTGGTCATTCGCTTCACATCTGTTTGTGGGATGTTGCTGCAAGCAAATCATCAGCCATGTTGGCCTATAAATGCACAGTCACTACATTTCACAGTAAAGTTTGTGACGTGCTTTGTGAAGTCTTGATGACATGATAAAGTACTTCATCAAATGCACACGAGCAGCTGGAAAGGCTGTGTAACAGTGATTTCAATGCCATTGCAGCTGGTTAGACTCCATCAGTTACCCCAATGCACACCCTGGGGTACCAATGACTAGGCTTTTGCTGACCTGTGTCTAATACTCTCTGGAGTTATTGAAGCAGCGGATGTCCCTCCAGGGAGAGAGTCAACAACAACAACAACAACAAGATTCCATTTATAAAGCGCCTTTCACGTCAGGAGGACGTCCCAAGGCGCTGCACAGTTGGGTCATGACCCGAGCAGGGGGGAAATGGTCAGGGTGAGGGGAGGGAAGGGAGGGAGCGAGGAGGGGGAAATGGTCAGGGTGAGGGGAGGGAAGGGAGGGAGCGAGGAGGGGGAAGAGAGTCGAGAGGGGAGCTGAAGGCTCGGTCAAAGAGAAAGGTTTTGAGACCGGCCTTGAAGGAGGAAAGGGAGGAAGCAAGGCGAAGGCACTGGGGGATGGAGTTCCAGAGCCTGGGGGCTGAGAGGCTGAAGGCCCGACCACCGATGGTAGGGCGGTTGGGGCGGGGGACGTGGAGCAGACCGGAGCCAGAGGAACGGAGGGTACGGACAGGTAGGTAGGGGGATAGTAGGTCGGAGAGGTAGGAGGGAGCAAGGCCGTGAATGGCCTTGTAGGTGAGGATGAGGATCTTGAAATCAATCCTCTGGGGGATGGGGAGCCAGTGGAGGCGAGCGAGGGTGGGAGTGATGTGGTCGCGGTGTCTGGTGCGGGACAGTACACGAGCTGCAGAGTTCTGAATGACCTGCAGCTTGTGGAGGGAGGTGGCGGGAAGGCCGGCGAGGAGAGAGTTCCCGTAGTCCATCCTTGAGGTGACAAAGGCGTGGACCAGGGTTTCAGCAGCGTGAGGGGTGAGGTAGTGCCGTAGTCTGGCGATGTTCCGGAGGTGATGGAAGGCGGTGCCAGTTGTGGTGCGGATGTGAGGGAGAAAGGACAGCTCAGGGTCGAACAAAACTCCGAGGTTCCTGATGCCTTTGAGAGGTGGAGAGTGCAGCCTTGGATGCTGATGGTGTCAGCGCCTGAGGTGCGCAGTCACCTTGTGGCTGTTGTAGGTGAGCCAACGTATCTAATCAGCGTCTGAAACCGAGTGCATCATGACA